CCCCAAAACCCCAAAACCCCAAAACCCCAAAACCCCTTTTGGGAAATCAATACTTGACAAAATACCCGCTCTCTTAATTCAGATTCCAATCTATTGGCTCATTTCCTTGTTTAGTTAGGATCTCGTTTGTCTCTGAGAAATGCGTGCAATCCTCAAACTTCTGGAACTTCTGTGCTAGAGGTGAGGGGTGCCCATAAGTAAGCACATGATGCTTGGTGCGATCAACTCCTTTACAAATATCAAGTGCCTTCCCTCCCCAGCATAGGAAGACGACTCCTTCTTTCTCTTCATTGATAGCGTTGATGACCTCGTTAGTAAATTTCAGCCAGCCTGACTTTGCATGGGAGAAACTCTTGCCGGCTCTCACTGTCAGAGCAGCATTGAGCATTAAGATTCCTTGGTCAGCCCAACTCTGTAAGTCTCCATGAACTGGAGATGGCTCCTTAAAGTCAACCTTGTTATCCTTCTTCAGAGCCTTATAAATATTCTTTAAAGAGGGAGGGCACTTAGTCGTCTTTGGGATGGAGAATCATAATCCCATAGCCTCGTTCACCTTAATATATGGATCTTGGCCTACAATAACCACTTTAGTGTTCTTAAAACTAGCCTTCTGAAAAGCATTAAAGATCAACTCTTTTGGAGGGAAACAAAGAGTTGAGTCATACTCCTCCTTGACGTACTCATAGATAGTCCTGAAATTCCCACTGGCTAGATAGTCAACCAAAGGCTCTTGCCAGTCGCCTAAATGTCCGACAAAGTCTTCATAACTATTCAAAGAATCACTGTTAAAATCGGCTAGTTCAGAGGTCTTGGATACCTTAGGTTCCTTAGCCTCCTCCTTAGTCTTCGTCTTGGCCTTACTTTTGGCATTCTTTTTGGCAACACCAGGCTTGAGCTTCTTTGCTGGCTTCTCTTTAGTCTCCTCAATGTCCTTAACTTTCCGTTTTCCTTTAGCAGCTGTAGTTTTAGCAACCTGCTTCTTCCGAGCCATTATTAATTCTGATAAATTCTTTAACAAATTTGGCTGTATAAATATCCTACTTCAAGCATTATAGGGAAAAGAGGGGTTTTGGGGTTTTGGGGTTTTGGGGTTTTGGGGTTTTGGGGTTTTG